TAACAATTGGTCATTCTAGTGCAGCAAACACCAAGTTTGTAAACAGTGCATATACAAAGCTATGAAATTTAGCTGGTCCTGTCACTAAGAGTTTGAATGCTCCACAGGTACTACATACAAGGTATTGGTTGTGTTGAAAGTTAAACGTTAAATATTTAAATCAAAATGCACAGGGATTAAGAAGTGCCATGGTACAAGTGCTTGCCTGCTGTGGTGGTAGACTCTTAGTCATTAGTTCCACAAAGCAGCACCACCCAGGTGATAAACTGCAAACAGTCATTGCGACATTTGCAGAATGAACACCATTTCATTAAGCACGTTTGGCTTAAACAGATTGTCCAAATGGGGTTACAGTCTATACAGACAGACATGTTGTTTGGGCCATCTGTGCCCCAATTACTGTTAGTACTCAGACAACCACTGCTCAGCAGGTTGCAGCCTGTAGAACTAGATATGGTGAAATTATTGTATCTTTGACAGATTGTACTATTAACGTTCCATGTGAGATTCCAGAATTCCAAACCATTAAAACCACATTTGTTTGTAATTGCTGATTCATTATTACAGGTCCATGAGGTTTTTTGATCAGAATCAATACAAGATTGTTTCATTTCATGACAAATTGTCAAACAATCAGTATGATGAACAAGATATGACCAAAATCCAGGGAAGATAATCTGAGTTCCCAGTTTCTGGTGTTGTAGTTAGAGTAACCTGAAAGAAAACACAAATCCACTTCATTCCTTTCGGATATTAGAGAATTTGGATAACCACTGCTCAGAAATTATATATGTGTTACTTTGATGGTAGACCACCTTCCACGTGGTACTTCAGAGGGATGTTTGTAATACACAATGAATGCTTCCTTTTTGCAGATGATTAATGTGGACAGTTTGTCCAACTGATAATTGATTATCATAATTTTCACCTTGATTTAAAGTTACACTGCAGCCTCTTTCCAAAAGCCTTCCAGATCAGCCTGATGGTCACAATCTTTTGATTATTTAAAGCAGTGACGGAGTCATTAAAATGATGTTTCTACCTGTGATACAGGGAAGTACTAGTTGAGGTTTTGGACCCACTGGTCTGAGTGTAAATCTGTAATTTAAAGAAGTTTGTTCCAGCATTCAATGATACCATTACACTAGGGATGACAAGGAACATGGAAAATCCATCTAATTCCTTGGGTTTCAGCCCACCTGTGTATATCTTTACTTTTTAAAATGTCATCAACTGTCTCAGTGAATCACAGAGGGTAAAGGTAGGTGGGTAAACCATTGTTCTAATCCTAAAATTGCATGTTTTGCACTAGCTTGAGAATCGGTAAACCATACCTAAACTGCTAATAATCTCTGCCCATGTTAAAATATATTCCAATTTATTTGGAGTTCATGGTAAATGTACTAAAAAATTTATTTGCTAGAATAACCATGAGTATTTACCGTGCCTCAGATTAGGCCAGTGTTGTCCTGCTAAAATTTTGGCTTAAGCTTCTTCACAAAAAGGGCAGCTAGCTATAAAATCTTGGCATTGTGTATTAGAGGTAGGCCCCTCCTTGGAGGCAAACCTGTCAATAAAGATCCAGGCTACCTGTATGTCGGAAGCTGTCTTGTAGCCAACCCAGAATTACAAGACTAGAGGTGGAAAGATTATACATATTATGTGAAAGATCAACATTATTGCTCTTTATAGGTTCCTTAGACAAACAATCTATGTCATGATTCCATCTGGATCCTAAATCTGTGTCCTTTGTATGTGTTGACACATCCCCTATTTGAAGACAGTTTCCACTATCCTGCTTTGAGCTATTAAATACAGCTTTTCCCATTGTTCTTTTCCCCAGACTTTCTTCAATTTTCCATCCTTTGAGTCACCAGTGTGGAAGCCACTGGGTGGCCCCTTAGCCCAGACCACATAGGAATAAGTATACTTGTGGCAGTGCTCCACTGGGCTACTAGCACCACTGCCTCGAGCTCAGCCAACTGAGATGACCCCTCTACCCCTTGTGCTTCAGATGTCCCATCTGAGGGCCACAGGTGGTTAGCTCTTCCCTTTCATTTCCCTTTGACCTTTTGAGCTGATCCATCTGTAAAACAGACATTAGACCAAGCCTCAATATCCTTTTGTAAATCAGATGGGGAGGGTGCATCTTGAATGGGTGAGGGTGGCATAGCAAGGGGTGGTTCAGCAGCTCCCTGCCACTGAATGGATACTATACTCTGTCAATTTCCCTGTAAGCCCTGTTCCTTCCTCAACCCAGTTGTGATGTGCTATGTACATTACTATCTTCTGAATTGTACTGGAATGCGCAATTATCTATGGAACAGGATTAGACTCCTTGGGGCTTTTTAAGGATAGGGATTGGGATTCTTATTTCTAAGGGTGGATCTAAAGTGATGGATTCTGCATTATATTGGGTTTGTGTGTGGTGGGGTTTTGGCTGCAGGGGACGGGGCTACAGAGGTGGCTCGTGTGAGAAGCTGATAGAAGCTTCCCCAGCTCCAAACCAGATCCACCTCTTGCCAAGACCAAGCCAATTAGTGACAGTGGTTGTGCCTCTGTGCTAACATTTAAGAAGGGGATCCTGCAGCAGAGTGGGAGGAGTTGTGAGGGAAATACCTATGCAAACATGAGGTCAGTAGAAGAAAGGAGGAGGAAGTGGGAGGGAAGTTCTGCAGAGCAGAGACTCCCCTCAGCCCCTGGTGAGAGGGCAGGCTGTCCCGCTGCAGCCCGTGGAGGTCTCCAGTGGAGCAGATGCCCACCTGCAGATGTGGAGGACCCCACACCAGAGCAAGGGTCTGCAAATGAAGAAGGCTGGGGCTCTGAGGGCAGCCCACAGTTATAGTTTGTCACTGGGAGGACTGCAACTCGTGGAAGGGTCCCACCCTGGAGCAGTTCAGAAAGAGCTGCAGCCCATGGAAAAGACTCATATTGGAGATAGTTCATGGAGGACTGTCTCCTGTGAGAGGGACCCCATGCCAGAGCAGGGGAAGTATGTGAGGAGTCCTCCCCCTGAGGAGAAAGGAGCGGCAGAGACCATGAGTGATGAACTGACCACAATCCCCATCTCCTGCCCCCTGTGCTGCTGGTGGGGAGGAGGGAGAGAAGTCAGAAGCTGAGCTGAGCCTGGAAAGAAGCAGGGGTGAGCAGGGAGAAGATGTTTTAAAGATATGGTCATATTTCTCACTATCCTATTCTGTTCGATTGGCAAATTAGTGGTGGTGGTGTTCAAATTAAATTGACGTTTTTTCTTCCCCAATCAAGTATGTCGTTTGCCCATGACCACAATTGGTGAGTCACCCCTCCCCATCCTTGTCTTCATCCTCAAGCCATTTGTTTTATTTTCTGTTCCCCATCCCTGCTAGGGAAGGAATGAGTGAACCCTCTGGGCTTAAACTACAACATCCATCTAACAAGGCTGTATAAGACAGCAATGATTTTTCCCAAGGTGAATACCATGCTTGGGAACCTTGCCATCCCTTTTATCAAAACTGTATAGGGGTTAATTGAGACTTATGAGGGAGAAAGGGCTTTGTGGAGTGGGCAAAACCAACCAGTTATGAGTATTGGAGCAGGAATGCGGGGAATAAGCCAAAAAAGGGCAAATGGGACAGAAGCCAGGGAAAACTGGGGGGGAAATCAGGAAGAAGTGAGGCAACATTGAGAATAAATAGGAGATAGAGTGAAAATGGGCAAAATGGGGCAAAAGAACAAAACCAGGGCAAACTGGGAAAAAACAGGGCAAACCCAGGGAAAACAGAGGCAAAATGAGACAAGAAAGCAAAAACAGGACCACGGTGGGAATCTGGGGGTGGTTATGGGGTAGCGGGAACAGCTGGAGTGCAAATTGGGGGGCACTGATGGGGCACTTGGACAGGTGTGGAGCAGTTTTGGGGCAGCAGTTTTGGGGCAGTTGGGAGAATTGGGAGGCACTTATGGGGTAATGGGGGGAATTGAGAGCAGCTGTAGGGCAGTGTGGGGCACTTGGAAGACAGCTATGGATCAGGCCCTTGATGTGGGTCAGTCCTGGAGTTCCTGGAGGTGCTGACTCAGGGGCTGGGACTAGTGATGTGGGCAATACAGACCTTCTTTGCCTCTGAGTGCACCAGTACAGCCCGTTACAATATGCTATCACACACACACACCACTCAGGCTCATATACCACCATCCCAGTATGGGTCCAGTGTTCTAATATGAGCTCCCAGTACAATGCCAGTCCAGGCCACAGCTCTCACGAGTATGATCCACTATAGCACCAGTGCTCCCAGTATGATGCCAGCCTAAGCCACAGGTCTTCAGACACAATTCCAGTATGGGCTGTCACACTCCCCATATGGGCTCAGTGCTTCCAATTTAGCACCAACACTCCCAATACTATGCCAGTCTGGGTCACAACTCTTCAAGTAGGATCCCAGTATGACTCCAACACTCCCAGTGTGGGCCCAGCACTCTCAATACAGTGCCAGCCTGAGCCACAGCTATGAGTCACATCTCAGTATATTCTCCAGTGATCCCAGTATGATACCAACATGAACTACAGTTAAAATAAGAACCTATTATAAGCCCCGATGTTCTCTGTATGGACTTAGTGTTTCCAGTACAGTGTCATGCTGGACTGTAGCTCTCCAAGTACGATCCTCATATGAGCCTCAAGGCTCTCTGTGTACTCCCAGTGTTCCCTGTATGCACTCTAAGTATGGGCCCTGATGCTCCAAGTGCAGCTCCAGTGCTCTCTCAGCGTGGCCCTCAAGGGTCTAAGGCTCCCAGTAAGTGCCCCGTGGTGCCAAGTGCAGCTGCAGTGCACACAGTGTGGCAGTCAAGGCTCCCAGGGCACTCCCAGTACAGGATTCAGTGCTCCTCCAGTACACTCCCAGGATGGGTGCCAGCACTACCAGTACAGGTCTCAGTGCTCCCAGCACACACCACCAATTTTTTGCTCTGACCTGTCCTGGTGTCTCCTTGGGCTGGGCCCCCAAAACCCTTAGAATTCCACCCAGAAATAAAGTCACCAGCCTGCCATCGCCTTTATTAGTTGGTGGGCACATTGGGTCACAGGATCAGGCCCCCCCCAGTGAACTCCATCCGCTGCCAAGGGAAGAGAGAGAAAGGAAGTGAATGGGGGGATCCTGGTGTTCAGGCCAGGGGGAACCCTGGCATCCAGGGCAGCAGGGGCAGGGGGACCCCAGTGTCTGGGCGCACCTGCGGGGGGGCAACAAAGGCCAGCCAGTCAGAGGGGCGGGTGGGCAGCAGCCCCATGGCCTGGCACTTGTAGAGGGCCAGCGCCAGCCCCAGCCCATTACCCACCAGGAACACGAGCCCCTGCAGTGCCCGCCGGCTTGAGCTCTCCAGTGCCTTCAGCGCTGTGGGGAGGACAGGGTCAGATGGGGGGGGACCTGTCACTGTCACCCACTCCGCACCCCTCACACCACAGAGGACCAGGGGTCATAATGAGTGGCGAGTGGCAGGAGAGCACCATGGAGGAGGCAGAGGGTGTATGGCACAGGGGTTGCTGTTGGGTGACTGCTGGGGGAGGTGTGGGAGTGACCAACATGGGGATGACTGTAGGGGGATGCACAGGGCGAGTGATGGGGGGTTGACTGCTGGCAGACACATGGGAACAAATGGTTTGGGGGCAACTGTCTGGGGACATGTAGGGAAACTGATGTGGGGGTGGCTCTCATAGGGACAACTGTTGGGGGACACGTGGGGATGGCTGACATGGGGGCAACTGTTGCAGAGGGACATGCATGGCAGGGGTTGCTGTTGGGACAACTGTTGGGGGCTATATAGGGATGAGTGTTGCAGGGCGAGATGCAGGGCAGGGGACTGCTGCAGGTATGTGGGGCAACTGTCACATGGAAGGGGGATGGCCATGGGGGGACACCCGGGGAGCCGTCACCTGCATGGGGCTGTACTCACTGGCTGAGAGGGACATGAGGGCTTGCAGTGGGCGCCAGCCCATCATGCAGACCATCATGGCAGGGAAGATGGAGATGGTGTTGCCGGCCATGTACATGATGAACAGGTTCATGGGGATCTGCTTCAGCGGCGCCAGTGCCACGTCCCAGCAGCGCTGCAGGGAAAGAGGTCACCCAGGCGTTCGGGATGTGGGGGGGACCGCCCTCGTACGGGACCCAGGCATTTGGTACAGGGACCATCCCCCCCGGGAACCCAGGCGTCCGGGGGGAGTCCCTCCCTACCCCCTCCCCGCGAGGTCCCCCCCCGCCCACCTTCTCCATGAGGATTTTGTCGCTCTCGTGGACGCCGCCCTCCCCCAGCTGCCGCTCGGCGAACCCCAGCGGCCCGCGGCCTTCGGCGGCTCCGCGAGGCCTGGGGGTAACAGAGTTGAGCGGGTGAGGCCGGGGAGACCCCTGGACCCCCCCAAATCCCCGCCCCCGCAACGTCCCGGGCCTCACCGCCCCCCCGCCGCCGCCGCCAGCTCCAGCGACCACTTGAACCGCCGACCCCTAACCGCCGCCGCCATCTTGAAAGCGCCGGAACAAGGAAGATATCACATGTCACATGGGGTGTCACGTGAGGGGGGCCCCCGGCGCCCGGAGGAGCAGAGCTCCCTGCCACATAGCAGCGCCATAGGGGAGCTCCATAGGATCCTCACAGAAATCCCACACAAGACAGCAGCCGCATAACACTCCCGCGCCCCACAGCCCCCCACCCGGTCCCTTCCACCCCGGAACTGCGGTGCGGGGCCAAGCGTTCCGCCCGGAGCCTGTGACGAGCGGCTCCGCGCGGCCCTTGGCGCATGCGCAGATGCAGCGCGGTCGCGGCTGCTGTGGGGGGGAACGGGAGTTCGGCGCTTTTCACTTACTGGCTGCCCTCTGTCCGCTCTCTCCTTCTCACTTCTCCCCCTGAAACCCCCCGCGCCCCCCTTTGGTTGTTTGGGTTTTTCTTTAATTTTTTAAAGTTCTTGGGGTTGTTTTTTTGTTTTATTCTTAAATCTCTTAGGAATGATTTTTTTTTTTTTTACTATATTTGTTAGGTCAGTGTTTCTTGACTTCTTTGGGGCCATTACTGTTTTCATCGCTTCTCTTCTTTTTAACTTCTTGCAGGGTTTATTTTGATTTTCTGAGAGTGATTTGGTTGGTTGGTTGTTTTTGTTGTTTTTGTTTTTTTGTTTTTTTAAATTGATTTTTTGGGGGACATGTGACAGATGCACATGAGTGACAGATGCACTCAACCCCTTAACCAAAGTAGCAGTAGTTTGGTACAGGCTCCAAAGGAGGTAAAGGCCTGAGCTTTAAATGGGTGAAGAACTCCTCCAGTTTCAGTCTTGTCTGAAAACCCACAGAGGAGCAGAGTGACACAGTGAGCATAAGTGCATATAAGGTTGGAACACTGTTCATGTTATTAACACATGAATAGTAGATGGCTTTTCCAAGACTCATTTATCAAGGAACAAAGAAAGTTGTGGGTACAAGGAGTCTCATACATACAAGCCAACCACTTTATTCCATAAATATGACAGGCTAAAGTGAGCCATCTTTGGCCTCTCCCAGCTAAGCAGCCTGGCTCCATGGTGGTGACTCCACCGTGAACTGGGACACTGCGGAGCCACGGAAGAACGACACGCTGAGACGGGTTCAATGTGGGTGATAGAGCATCAATCTACGTGTGTCTTTATTGGTCCAGGGTACATATATTTATACAGACAATGATAATTATTATGCCTACTAGTCACTAGCTGATTGGCTTAACCTCTAAAGGTCGTATTCACACAGTCCACCTACTTGCAGTTAGCTAACAGCACAAGCTTCTCATAACACTAAGTTTCTCATGCCACTATTTCTAATTCCTGTTTTCGACACACCACGGTACACAAGGCCAAAGCATCCTTGACATTCCTCATGTATCAGCAGCTGCAGGCAAACCCTAGTGAGGCCCAGCATCAGCGAGGTAGCATCAGCCCTTAGAACAGGCTCTGATCGTACAATTGCTCGGTGGGCTCAGGACTCTTGTCTCTGAGCCATTCTCCAACAAGACACCTCTCAAGGTTGCATCTCAAGGCAGAGAGACCTTTCAGCAAAAACAGATCTTTGGTAAGCAACCGGTATTGTGCATGAATTTTTACTGTGTATATGATTTGTGTCTTGCTAACTCTGATTTGTGTCTTGCTAACTCTGATTTTTGTCTTGGTAACTTTGACTCAGTCTTGCTAGTTTTGAATCATTCTTCAAATGATTGTGTGGTACAGTATAGAGTGAACTCTGCCATTGAACTTCGTTGAGTTGCAGTTTTACAACATCGTATTTCAATAAAACCACTTTTGCTAGTACCTTTTGTGGTGGTTCTTTAGCAATCTATATCATCCATTCGCAATGGGGTTGTTTTGATTTCTTGGGTGTTTTTTAATTATTTCATTTTTTTTCCTCTACTGTGGGCTATTTTATTTTTTTTTTAATGTCTTGGGATATTTTAATTTCTTGGATTATTTTGGTCTTTTGGGTTGTTTTTTTTTTTTTTCAGGAGGGGAGCATCTTTTGGTGTATTAGTTCTTGGGAGGGTTATTCAGATTTTTTTTAATTTAGGCATTGTTTTTTGACTTTATTTTAAAATTTTTATCTCTTGGGGTATTTGATTTCTAAATTTTTTTTACTTTTTTCTTTTTTTTTTATTTCTTAGGCTAGTATTTTGGCTTGGTTCTTTGTGTTGTTTTTTGTGGTTTTGTTTTGTTTTGTTTTGTTTTTTTTCACTTAAGGTTGCTTTTTGACTTCTTGGTTTTGGTTTGGTTTGATTTTTTTAATCCCTCTCCCCACCCTCCTCTCTGTACCTTTCTTCCTGTTTGGCTCCTCACCCTATATTCCTCCCTTCCCCATCCCTCTGTCCTTCTCTGCTTCCCATCGTTCTCTGCTTCTGCCCCTCTCCCTCTCTCTTGCCTCTCCTCCTGCCTCCCTCATCTCCCTGTTCTGCCCCTGGTTTTCTCTCCCCTATCCCATCACTTTTCCCCCTACCTTTCCTCCTCCCTGCCCCATTTTTCTCCTCTTGCCATCTCCCTCTCCCCCTTCCTTCCTGCCATCCTTTCTCCCTCTCCCTCTTTTCCTTCTTTGCCCCCATCCTGCCCCCAGCACTGCTGTATCCTTCTCCCTCACCCTTCCTCTGATCTTACTGTTTTTATCCCCACTCCCATCTGTCCCTCTTCCCCTTTCTCAGTCTCTCTGTCCTCTTTCCACCGCTCTCTCCCTTCCTCTGTCCCCACTTCACCTCCCACCCATCTCCTGGGCTCACTGTGGGGCCTAGTGGAGAAGTGCCCATGAGAGCAGCTACACCCTGAAGTGACTTAGGGGCAACTCCCCCCAGGGGAGAGGCCAGTGGAGGAGTTTGCTGTGATGCTAAACCCCATGGCTTCGTGCCAAGGGATGCTGTATGGATACAGCAGTGGAGGTGTCTTGAAGGGGCCACAGCCACAGGAAGCTCTGCAGCAGAAGTCACTCAGACTGGTGGAGGAGGAGCTGGGCAGGAAGCTGTGGATGTGCAGCCATGACCCTGCCTGAGCTGGCTTTGGTGGCCTTGTGCTTCTTCTGTCCTGAGCAACAACCACAATGGGTAGAGCCTGAGTCATGGACTAGATTACCATGGCAGATGTTTTGTAGAGAATTTATTGATGTTTCATGGAAATTTTATGGATCTTTGAAGGACAATTTATGTAGACTACGGGACTGATAACCTGCGTAGCTATCACAGTAGGGGAAGGAGGTGGTGACTGGTGACATGTCATAGGGTGGGACCTGAGCACAACACCACTGTGGTGGGACATGGGGAGGAGGTTGTCCTGGTTTTGGCTGGGCTGGAGTTTGGCTGGTCATCATGGCAGCCCCACACAGTGTGTGATTGGTGGCCACAGCAGATCTGTGCCGCCGTTCTCCACATCTCTGCCTTCCTGCCTGCCTGTCCCTGACTCTGTCTCCCTCTCTGCCTGCCCACCTACCTGTCCAGTTCTCCAAAATGTTTTCCTCTTCTACCAACTCTGCCCTGTACCTTGTCACCTTTTAAATTTTTTCTACATCTCTCTCTATCTGGTTTTGCTCCCTGTTTTTTAATTCTTGATGTTGTTTCTTGTACCCCATTGTTTTTTAAATAGTCTGTGTTTCCTTCTGTCCATCTCCCTGTGCTTTTTAGGTCTTTCCTAAGTGTCATGTACCATGTTGAGTTGGAAAATCTCTTTCTGCTTCTCCCTCTGTCTGGCTCCCTGTCCTTATTTTTTAATTCTTGCCTATGTTTCTTGTACTCGGTCACTTGAAAAATTTTATTTCTATGTCTTCCTGTAGACATCTCCTAGTCCCTATCTTTTATATTTTTCCTGTGTTTCTTGTACCAAATCACATTTTAAATTTTAATTCTACATCTGAATCTGGCTCCCTGTCCCTATTTTCTATTTTTTTCTTGTATTTCTTGTCCCTCATTGCATTTTAAATTTTCTATGCCTTTATCCCACTCCCCCTCCCTATTTTTTAGGGACTGAAATAATGGTTTTCAAGGGTCAAAGGTCACAAATAAGCACTCAACAAACAACACATTTCAGAGATTGAAGATCAAAGGTAAAGCAATGAAGGTAAAAGGCCATATTTCAAAGGTCATGAATAAGTGTTCAAGCAGTGAACAATGTGTTTAAAGGGCAAAAGGCCAAGGGTTGAAGGTAAAAGGTTAAGAAGAAATGACCAAGCATTGAATGTCATGTTTCAAGGGTAAAAATAACAAGGGGCAAAGCTCAGTGGTTGTATGTCACAGGTTAAAGGTCACAAGCAAATGACCAAGTGGTGAATTATGTTTTTCAAGGGTTGAAAGTCAAGGGTTAAAAGGCAGAGGTCATAGGTGAAGTCACAAGCAAGTGGTTAAGCAGTGAACTGTGCATTTCAAGGACCAAATGTCAAAAGTCATGAGCCAGTGATGAAGTGGGAAATTTAATTTTGAAGGGTCACATATCAAGGGCCAGAGCTCATAGCTCAGTGGTCAAGGCAGAAAGATCATGGGTTTAAAGACTCAAACGTTAAGGTCATAGGTCAGGGATCAAGAGCCAAAGGTCATGGGCAAACAACTGATGAATTACTTTCAAGGGTCAAAGGTCACAGGTCAAAGGTAATGAGTAAGCACTCCTCTCTACACTCTTGTTCTGCTCTCATTTCCCTGTTTTCTGGCTTCCTGTCCCTCACTTCTTCCCAGCATTGCTTTGTCCTTCCTCCTGATTTCCTCTCCCCTGTTCTCCATATGTCCTGTTGAATTGGGACAGTGAGCCTCAGAGCCAACTCACTGCTGGCATTTCTCATGTGCATGAATTAATAAACATTTCATTATCCCTCTGCACCCCTAGACATGTCTGCAGGCACCAGGCATGGCGTGAGTGGCCACAGTCGGGTCCAGGGGAGGGGGTGATGTGCTGTGATAGCCCCCTGTTCCAAATCGGCTCCAGCTATGGTCTCAGGCCAAGGCAGCCCCATGTGGGACCAGTGAGGAGATACAGAACCTGGCTGTGGTCCTGGGGCAATCTGGAGGGCAATTAGGGCACTGCATGGGTCCCTGCAGAGCTCAGCAAAGGTCCCTGGGCTTTTCCAGAGGGCAATTCTGCCATGTCAGGGC